GTGCAGAGCCCAACAGTATCAGGATCTCCTGTATAACTATATTACAACCCTAACCCTAACCCGTACAATTTTGGTAAATTTGTAACCCAAAGTAATTTTGAAAAGCTTCCACTGATCTTCCTGACTAAAGGGCGCATCACAGATGAGGAGCTCAAGGACAGTTGGAACTCTGATGAAAGACACATTGGTTAATATTTCTTGGACACAGTTTTTAGGAATGCAAATGAGCAAACAAAAAAAAACAGTTCTTTCCTAAATATGATTTTAAAATGTTGTTATTTGTGTCATTAATTTATGCCTTCATGTCATCACGTTGACAGATCAGCAGGGTCAACGATCTAAACAAGTCCATGAAGACGAATGTCAGCAGCTAAATATAGAGTATTTTGCATCCTTTAACTTCAACAACCTCCGGTACGTTGGTCAAAGCAGAGCCCGTTCCACTCAGCCTCCTACAACGTGCGATGAACAGTGCTGCTCCAGCTCCACTGTGTTCTGGGTCTTTATGCTCGCTCTCTGGACGTGACTGTGTTACCAAGACAAACCTCTGTTGTCCGTCTCTCACGCCTCTTTCATTCCCTCCTGAACCCCGTCTGACCCTCCGCTAGCCTCGGCTCAGGCCAAAACAGGAAGAGGAAACAGACGGGTATCAATGGAGGAAGCCACGATGCTGGAGTCTGTGATGCTCCTTCTTCATACTCTGCTGAATTCCTCTGACTCGGTGCTTTTCTGATAATTCAGTCACTTATCTGTGACAGGCAAAACTAATCCCGATTCGTTACACACAATGTCGCTTAATTTTACAAAAACCCACCCGACTGTCCCTCCGTTGTTTCCTTCCTCGCTCCCTCAGCAGCTCCACTGCTCACTCCTGTGTCCTCCTCTGCTCCCTACAGTAAGCTTAACTCACACCTTGTTGAGCAGACTAACTGGGAGCTGACTGCAAACACAGAGCATGTGGAAGTTCATAGAAAGGGGCTTTATGAAGATGACAAGGAAGGAACTAATCTGTGGAGCGCCGGCAGAAGGAAGCATGGCTGACTGAAGCCCAACCTGAGTCATCACAAAGCACTGGAGGACAGTGATGCTGCTTTTCATGAATACTCTGAATGTAGTGCTGACTTCAGTCCACCCTCAGCTTTTCAGACATTTGTTGTACAGCATCCTGGACAAGTGGTCTCATTTCCATGTGTTCATGAGCTCACTCACTCATGCTGTTTCTCCACAGAATGAGCTTTTTAACAGAACTTAATGTCACCGTCATGAAGCATACTACTGGAAGTTTAAACTCTAAGGCTTGTCCAGCGGTCACCTCGGGTCAGGTTATTGTGTAATTTCTCTAATACGAAGCAAAGCCTCATAAAGATAGAGCACACGCCAGCATCCTTCTAGGTCACACTTGTGTTCATCACTGAATCATTTGCTCATTTCCATTTTGACCACACTATGAATGAACTACTGATTCATTTATCATTTGCTCTCTCACTATCACATGAAGATAAACAGATTATTGGCTGACATGTGTGTCAGGACATTTCTTAAATATCCCAGCAGGTGTTAAATAAAGGAGGAATCGTTTTACTTTGAAGTGACATCGACATTAACCCCACTATTAGGTTTAACACTACGTTGAGCCTGTAATCAGCTCTGTGGCATCGAGCTCCAGGTGGAGATGACCTGGATAACCTTAACCCAATAACAGTTCCGAACATGTGCAGTGCTCCAGCTGAAGAACGAAAAGCATCACAGGTGTTCATGAAGGCGTTGCAGTGACTGTTTCTGTAGTCGTGGTTCTAAACATCTGGCTCTAAACACATGAACCAACCTGCGTGTTCCTCAGCTGGCTTTGAGCAGAAACATACTGAGGACAGCGTTTCTTCTAAACTGTGCTAATGTTAAGACTTGATGCAGGATGAGGCGTGCCTGGAGAACAAACAGCAGACAGCAGGTGTGAGGAATCACAGCGTAGTTGGTGGGTTTCCAGACAAACAGTACAGCTCTGAGCCAATCATCAGTCAGAGGGTTTGATAGAAGAGCAGCAACTGAAGACTGAACTTCAGGTTACCAACTAATGACAGGACTAAATGAAACCTCAGTGTGAAAAATCCTGTTCCATAACTTCACAAAATGAATCAGTCAGATACAGCTAGAGGACATCGAGGATCACATGCTCAGCGTCACCAGGACACACCTGAAAGCCTCTGCTGTCCATCATCTCCTGTTTTCATCATTCATCAGCTGAGCTTCACTCAGAAACAAAGACATTCAGCTCCTGATCTGACACAACCAAAAACTGGAAGGACAGAGGCCTCCTGATTGGCTGATCTACTGCAGCAGGAGGACAGAAGCCTCCTGATTGGCTGA